CTCCAGACTTTGCATACTAATGCCTTCAGACTGAACACAACGAGCCTCATTTATAAAAGATGTTGGTATTTCTTAAGCGCCAGTCTGAGCTTTACAAACACATTCCGGGCAAAAAAGGGGATATTATGAAAAATTGATCACGGTGCCAAAAATCTGCTGTTTACATGAATTATCCGCAATCTTCTGTGATGTTAACATCTTTGCTAATGATTAATTAGGGGACATGTTCCCCCAAGATGTTACAGGAAGACAATAATAAATCACAACAGGAAGCCCACACATAGCAGAAAAGACGAGAGAAAAGTTATTGTGCGCTGTTGTTCATCTACAATTACCGATGTTTTAAAGCATGTCTTGACATCTCAGTGAATTTGAATTCTGGGAAATGAAGTGAAGACATTGCACAACGGCAGCGCCCGACCCCCTGCTGGGATGACTGACAAGGACAAGGAGTCTTTTGCCTCGCATTACACTTTGAAGGGATAAAAAGCAGGCGGAAGATTCTCTTTTATTTCTCTGCCACTGATCATTAAATACGGACATTTATTCTATTTTCTATTTTTAGTTTGTTTTGTTACGTTTTGATTTCAAAATCAAGAATAAAAGAACTTCTCTAGATTTCCATCTTTTGATTCTTTAGTCGTGCGGTTTGCCTTGAACCTGAATTTAGTTCTGTTAAGACTTAAAAAATCTAAAATATTTTATAAAGATGTTTTGTATATAAATATTACATGTTATTATAGCTGCTAATAATTATATTAGAATCACAAGTTACCTTTTTCTTAATCCACTGTAGTAAAGGTTGAAAGTAGCATACACCGAAAGCATCTAAACATGCTACGTGGGTTCTGAACACTTTATATGGAAGTCCATAGGGGACAATATTTAAATGGTATCTTCAAAATAAAAACGTTTTGTTGACAATAGCATTAAAATGTTCCATACAGTATGGAATATGTATTTTTTGTATGTATGTTGGTACATTTTGGTACACGCCTCACATTTTGGTACACGCCTCAAATGTTTTCAGATTTACCATTTCGATTTCATTATGGTCATAAAATGCCTGATTCTAGTGTTAAAACAAAAGTTACATTTTTATTTAAATTTAAACTCAAATAACACCAAAATATGGAAAATGATAATGCTTTGGTTAAATAAAATGTTTTGTGTCAAGACAACACTATTATTTTAAAAAAGTCCCATATGGGCTTCCATACATCTAAGAAGGTTGTTAAATCTGTAATCCAATATTACAGCCAGGACAAAACGTTGTATCTAACAACAAAACCCTCTTTATATTTACACATATGTCCGCCATATGCTCTGTGTTTATGGACGAACGTCAAGTTTAATTTGTGTAAAGCCCTAATGAGACTATGTTTATATATACAAATGTCCGCACTGACCTACTATCGTTATGGATCTATATTTGAAGCTCATGTCTCGCCCCTAATCCCAGATGAGACCGACTGGAGATATTTATGCACCAACCCACAAATATTGGGTATAGAGGACATCTGCTACCTAATTTCACATGTAACACAGCTGAGCGTGTGTGTGTGTGTGTGTGTGTGTGTGTGTGTGTGTGTGTGTGTGTGTGTGATGGTGACTGGGGTTATCAAGTGGGCACCTGCCACCACAGATGCTTCAGTGAATAAGAAGCCGCTACACCTGCAGAAAGCTTGATAGTGGCCTGTATTTGCAATAACCTTCAGACATTGCTATCCAAGACACAATCTAGGATCCACACTCAAAACACCTAAACAACAACCTTTATCTTTCAGATTTACACGTGATATCCACAGCCACAGAGACGTCTTTGACCTTAGCGCCGCTCCAATACAAAACAATTATCCAACACTGACTCCGGCTGCCTCCATTGTATGTTTCTGAGCATTTATTTATAGCGTGTTGTATGCTTAATATTGAAAGTCACACACTGACCTTATACACTCTGCCAAAGAAGCCACCAGACAGTATACAGAAGCTAAATGTCCTCATGCAGACACAGCCAAAACAACACTCTTTGTGGAAAGTGTGAAGGTCTCTGCTCCATTTGAGATGTATCACTATAGATATATGCCATAGAGCAGTGGTGTCTCAACTGGTCAGGTCTCGGGACCCACTTTTCTTTGTCAATAAATCGCGACCCGAAATTTGAACCACTCAAATCTATTCAACAAAAAATCGTTGCTGTAATATATACGCTTTGCAGCATACAATATTTATTAAAGTGAAGTACAGTGCATATATCCCTTCACAGAACTAAAGTATGATGGAATCAAAGCTGAACTGTATAACACAAAAAGGCACACATGCTGAAAACCCAACCCCAGAAGGGGGGTCTGTTGATTCACCCCCAGGAGATTTTTTAGAAATACTAACATATAACTACGCCATTCTGGTACACTGAGAAGAAAATAAATAAATGTATTACAATCCGACATATTAATAATATTTTATGCCATTGTTTGTGTTTCACTTTGTTCTGACATCTTGCTGCTCCTCACAGAGAGAAGAGCAAAGAGGAGAGAGTCTGGGTTGAATTACTTTAAATTGTGGGTAAGGGTAGATCGCTCCCATTGTTCTGTGACCTGTCAATCATCAAACCGGGGCTCATATGTCATTAGTGTTTTTATTCTGAAGTTGTACCCATGGATGTATAAAGAACAGTTATACCGCTAAGTTATTCTCCGTGGGGACTTCCGGCAACAATCTTGATTCTGATTGGCCAGAAAGACTCGAAAAAAAACATCAGCAAAGATGTTTATTGAGAAGATGATCACTGCGTGACAGAAGTTTTCAAAACCGTTTACGGTCTCCGTATTTCCAGTCCAACGCCCGACTGCATTGCACAGCGTTAGAAAAATCGGGCCTTCAAAAATAAAGTTTGACTTAAAAAATAAAAAAAATCTCTTTTTTTTTCTTCACTCACACATCTGCGACCCACTCGAAAACGGGTCCGTACCCACCAGTTGAGAACCACTGCCATAGAGTATAGCAGTCATTAAGTATTTGTGTAGGTCAGACCAGGAAGTAAAAATTGCATGGGTCCCCTCTGTAAAAAAGCAATTGGATTTCCCCATTGGGAATTTTGTATATTGAAGGAAATAAGCTCTGTGGCCAACACATGTTTATGATTATTTACATAATCTCCACATAATACACTACTTTGTCATTTTTGTAGCAGAAATTCATGGCCAGAATAAAAAGCCAGTGCTAGGCTTTAAATGAACAACATCACGGTCGCATGGCTGTGCGTCACTAAGCTAAAGGGGGACTCGTGTCAGCGTGATGACATTTGGTAGATTCATTTAATCACTTGCTAGCAACCGCTGTTTATATGACACATAGAAGCTTAGACATTCACAAGTGTGGCGATTACTGCCGTATTTAATGTTGTAGAACAGAATGTGCAAAATCTCTTCAGCTTGCGTTATCCACAGACCTTATTTCAGGCTTCTAACCACAAACACATTAAAAAACTGTCGACTTTAAGGCATAGGAACCGGAAGTGGTGAACTGCTTAGTCTTTTCTAGTAGTCATGACTGCAACACTCTATTGACATCAATAAATCCCAATGTTACAACACAGTGTGGCCGTTTGTCTTACCTTATGGCTGTGCCTCTGGCTTTGGGCTTGTCAGACACCTGTCAATACACAGAAATTGTGAGTTTTATTATTGCTTTGATTGAATATAAAGTCAATAACTTCAGTATGCAGAGCATGAGTTGCTTTTTTTACAGGATTTCCCAGCATATCTTTGCTAGAAATGAAATATGGTAATATGATGAATGTTTGTGACACAACTGCATGAATGATCAACATGATGATGGATGTCTGTGTGAGTGTTGTCGGATCATGTTCACATTCAGAGGACGTTTGAAGAATCCATGACTGACAGTGAGGATGAGGGATGGAACAGTGGTCTGCTTTTATATGGATCCTCTAGTGGTTTAATTGAATGTATTAGGTCTCTACAAACACAACAGGGGAATAGCAGGAAAGTGTTCCTACTGCAGCATTTAAACACTTTTCTAAAAAAGTATTTATACTCCTTATGCAATATTTTCTTCAATGCCATCTTCTGGATACTAAATCATGTTGCTGGTGAGACAAATATTACAGCCTCTGCTATTATTACTACGACTGTACCATTATCACTTCTGTTAAACATC